ATGGTCTCTGTTTAGAAAACCCAAATGAAGAGGAGTAGGGAAACTTGAAGAGACTAATGAATATAGAACTACTACAAAATACATGATCAGGCTTTTACAAAATCTAATATTTTGTTTTATTTTATGTTCAAATTCTATAACTTTGCGAAGAAATGTCGTGCAGAGCTAGAAAATATCTCATCTTAATCAGAAATTTGTGGGCTACAATTATGCATTATCAAGAAAGGTTCTTGTTGCACTTTAGAGTTTGTGAAAAACTGGTTTTGCAGAAACAGGATCTTCTAAGGGCTAAGAGCCTGTTCCGGAGTATGGAGATGACACTTTGTCATCGATTTATGTAGAACTCGACTTCCTCTTTTTATTGACAAAAAAACGAAGGCTCTACGACAGAATAAGAAGTCTGCAAAATGATTTGCAAAAGAGGTCGTTTCTGCTGGAAAACGATGCAAAATCCGACTTTCCACTGGGAAAGTATTTAGGCAAATTGTTTGTTAGTTGTTCAAGAAATAGTTGTTCTAACCTGTAAAACTATATAGTTTTGCAAAGTGTATAGGGAGCATTTCGAGGGTTCTACCCATGTTTCATTAATTTTTATTGTGCACTCGAGATTTTATAAGTGCATATATCGTTTTCTATAGTAAGTTATAGATGGTGAGTCAAAATAAAAGAAATTTCAGGAATTATAAGAAGTGGTACAATAGAAAGTTAGCTTATTTTTATAAATTTCGCTGAATGTTATCTGTTTTAGATTTTCATATTAGATAGTTTTTTATCAAACTTTTCCTCAAAGAAATCGTTTTAAAAAAAACTAAAAATAATACTGTTAACTTGATCAGCTCCATGTCAAAATAAATTTTCTAGTTTTGTATTGTCTACAGTACTTATACCACAAACAAATTAGAAAATTGTTCTAGTTCTTACCTCTTTTCTATTCGTGCTTTATAGTTTGCTTACTTGCCATTTTGCACTGTTCCCTCGACTAACAATGCAATATGTCATAAACTTATCACTGGAAAGATAGTAATTAGTCTCATCTCTACTGTTATTTATGTTGCTGTCAATCTGATGTTTGTCTTTTTCTAATATTAAAAGACTTTCAGCACAATACAGAATATACATAGATTAAACAGTGATTAATTAAAGATCTGGAGAATGTTCTAATAAATGTATGATTATGTACATCATTGATGATGAAAGTTTTTATGGTAGCATCACAAAACAACAACAAAAGAAGTCGCTATTTGATTTCTAATAATACAACTGGTCATCTTTTATTTCGCAGTTGTATCGAAAAAGTATTAGAAATAAGAGTATCTCGAGCTCCAATCATAGTGTACAACAGTTAGAACGTATATTCCATAGATGTAATACTGAATCTAGGGAAACAGATTAAACAATACTAAAATGCTCGTTTAACAGCGTAAATCATATTCTTATAGCCGCAGATGTCTTAAAAATTTTTATCTTTTACTTTTGTCCTTTAACCCAGGACAAGGATTTTTTAGAGAACGGAATTAGGGCTGAATTGAGAACGGTCATACGTTCGAATAGTGAATTATTATCTATATATATCTTTCATTGCCTGCAAAAAAATGCAGATAGATATGATATTTCAAAAAACTAGAGCAAGACTAGATTTTTTTGGTCTACCACGTGTTTTTGGTCCTAAAGGCATACGATCTTTTGAGATTACATGATAGCCAAAAGCAATTGCAAGTCCAACTGTATGTTTACAAACGTATTCTTTGCAAAAGAACCTGCACGAACAAAAGTTTTGTTGAACCGAAACTATGTGAGCAGATTCATACCATATCTTAAAATGATTGAATGATGAAAATGCATTGCTACCAAAACAATTAATCCACTCTTGGATACTCATTATTGGATGTGATGTAGGAACAACCGTTTCAAAAATATTCCATGGAATTGGAGTTGCATATTTGAGCAACATCTTGAGACCATTTTAGTGCTAATGTTTCTAGTTCTTTACTTATAACAACACGTGCGTATGAAAAATTCTACTTTAGACACTGAACACATATAGCGAAAAAATATCGTTCACAACCGTTCTCTTTTCAGTCTTCTACAAAAAATTCGAAAACTGTTCTCTCTTCAGTCCCGTTCTCTAAACGGTGTAAAAATTTAATAATTCGCACTCCGTTCTCCATTCAGTCCAAACTCCGTTTTCTTTTCATAATTTTTTCCTTTAATGTTATCGAATACTTTCTAGATGTGTTGAATCTCACCTTATTATTATTGAAAACTTGAATATTTTAGCAGCTAGTTTAAGCTGATTATTGTTTATTTATCGCAAGAAAACTTTTCTTTAATAGATATGTATGTGGACCAAAGTAGCAAGATGGCAGATACTTTAATTATACCAAATTCATCTGATAATCAGTTGTTATCAGATGCGCATCCATGTTATCATTATTTTTCTATTTCAAATCACGTAAGAGTCATTGCACGTAAGCCACGATCTATTACAGCGGAGTAGCCTTCAATCGATATTCTCAAAATTCCTAGCTTGTTCCTAGCTATAGGTGTTATCTACAAATCAAAAAACAATTTTTCTTTCTCCGATGTACCGTTACCGAGAATTCCTGTGCTAGCGACGACAGCCCTGGAGCTAAAAAACAGCCTTGAGAAAAACACAAAATAAGTTTGACTCTGTTAAATGCATTTTACTTAAAAAGCATTTGAGTGTTAAATAATTTGTTGATATATAGGATATCGATGATGGCCTTAAAATGAAAAGTTTTTTGCAAAAAAAGAGGAGGGGGAGGATACCCTTAAGAAAGAAAAGAATGACATCAGTATGAGTAATCGTAAAAATTATTCGAGAGTATTACTGAACACCTGTAAGTACAAATTAGTATCATTTTCTGATATTAATCTTTATTATATTATCTTTATATTATTAATGACGACAATATGATTCTATAATGAATTTTCACTTATACAGCTTCGTCAATATTCAAGAATAATTTTCATGATTACTCATATTGATGTTTACCCTCTTATTTCTTCCTCTACCTGTGAGTATGTATCTAACTGAATTTCTACATATGAAATCATTCAACCATGACGTCAGTGTCTTATATAACTTAATACCTATAGATAGTAAGGAAAAACGAGAAAATCTTAATTATATTCTTTTACTTATTTTTGAAATAAAAGTATTCAAATGAACATATTATTATGGGTAATACAATAAATAGAACTAAACTTAAATCATTTGAACTTCCTGAACGATTGACAGATGATCAAATTCTGAAAATTCAGTCTTTAACTGGTTGTTCAAAACGTAAAATCGAACATTATTTTAAACTATATAAATTAAATCATCCATCGGGAATAATAACAAAAAAACAATTTATCCAAGGTTAGAGTTTCTGAATGATTCGACTGACTTTTTTTCCAATGCTACTGTCTTGTAGAAAAATTTCTTCTTTTAAAAAATACGATGAAAATTTGTTCGAAACAAAACATGCGCTAATTTTAAGAAGAATTTTACACTTTGAATTTTATGTTTTCAACTTTTCTGAACTGCATAATTTACTCTGACAACTCTTTTTTATCCAGCATATGGTTCCGCCCATTCCTATTTCATCATTTCATCCTCACCTTCTTTTCTCTCTCTGTTTAGCATTTAATCAATTATGTCCATGTATTTGTGAAGATCCTAGAAATAGTCGTGATGCATTCAAACGAATTGATTTCAAACATAATGGTAAAATTGATTTTGAAGAATATATAATTGGTATGGAATCAAAGTCAAAAAGTACGTATGCTTACGTTTATCCTCTGTGTGTGTAGTAGACTGAAAATCGTTTGATTCTATTTAGCTTTACGATCGATGACCGTAATTGATTGTGGTGAAGACGACAATTTTAATGAAATCAAGAATGAACATAAAAATGAATAATCTGCTAAAAGACAATAGCTCTATTTGACATCCTTAGAGGGTGTCAACAGATTTAGTTGACACCTTCTGAAGGTGGCAATAGCTCCTTGGTGACGCCTCTGGAGGTATCAATAGCCATTCCGAATGATAATTAACAGAAATTACTCATTTTTCTATTATTTTTCATACTTTTTCGAAAATTATAGGTAAATATTTTAAAAATTCTTTTATTTTGTAATAAATTTTATTCACCGAGAGTATCCACACTCGGTCAATCAATTACTGAAACATGTAGATGGCGGGCAACTCTGTGAGGAAATACAGAGAATAGTTGAAAATTTATAAACATCTGAATTTTATACAACAATACATTAATTTTTGATTAAAATTATAAGACAGAAAATGCTAAATGACCATTTAGTTTTCTTTATTAAATTCGCACAGAAAGTAGACGATGATAATTTTCTCAAAATCTTATAAGAAAACTTCTAATTTTTTCAGAATTTACTCATCTTACACAATCTTTAAGTTAGGACTCTGATCTAGGATTGTGCAAAGACGAAATTACTATTGGTGTAGGACTTAGCAGTTAATCTAAAACAAATAACAGAGATTTCTTTACTATAGTGGCGGATCCAGAATTATTCTTTGGTATGTCCGGTATACGATAAAAGTACGAGATACGTTCGGTCGTCATAGAAACAAATTAAGTTCTACTTGGAAAAAACAGTTTTTTGGTTAAAAGGTAACCGCTCGTGTGCTGGATCCGCCGCTGCTTTACTATCTATACTCTTCAGATTGCTTATGTTTTATCAGAATCGGCTGGTATTCAATGTATAGAGAGCAGGTCAGTACGAAAATGTCTCTAGGGAGTGTGTTTATCCTTGTAACGAAAACGTAAAAAATTAAAAGAAGCAAGAAAAAGTACCGTACCTTGTTTCAGAAAGAGCAAAAAAGTCTTTTTTAAAATCTGCGGTTTCGTTAAATCAGCGGGCAAATTTCTTCTCAAAGCTGCTAGCGTTTTTGGAAAAGCCGCGGTGTTTACCGTTTTCTGTCAAAAAAATCTCGCTAAACACAGATTAAAACATTATTTTACACAGTTGGAGTATAGTCGCAAGGCTATTTTTAAGGATTTTTAGCACAACAACTATAATTTTTTAACGAAAATACCAAAAGGACGGCGCCCGGTTTCTGGAAGAAAATGAACCTGTAATATGTTTTGGAAAAAAAAACGGCTATAACTGATCAAGAACTGTTCGTTATTTACTTTTTAGTATTTCTGCACCCTTAAAAGTTGATTGTAGACTACCATATGCTTAAATTTGTAATCATTTCTGAGCATCGCTCCAAAACGGCTGTTCGATCGTATTTTTTCGTTTTTCCCTATGAGTTCAATGTTCTTAATAGAATATTATATGTGAAAACATGCGCAATTAAACGGGCTTTAAAGTAATCTATAGCACATCTTTTAAAACTAATGTCTTCATAGAGTTAGTGGTCAAACATTATCTATGACTATTTGCTACCCATATACGAAATCCTAGTTGAATATAATAAAATGCATGTAGTTTTGTCATCACACTCAGATGCAGAATGATTTATACACATAAAAATGTAGAATTGAAAGGACTACAAAATGAACTACAACTATCATATAAATATTGCTAGAGTTATCGGCAAAAAAATGAAAGACATATTTTTCGTGCCTTCCGTTAACTTCGCTAATTTAGCTGACATAGAACCTTTTTTAAATTGAATGCTGTTTGCTGAAACGGTGATGTAGAGAGTTCAGAAACGTCTCGATTTGTTTAGGAATATTTTTTATACTGCAGTTAATTTAAATAACTCAAAATCATAGACGAGGACTTTAGAAAAAAGCGTTATCTAAAAACACATAAGCACTTGGACAAATTCAATTGGGTTTCTCGTGCTGTTTCTACTGCAAGTCATATGAGTGCTCTGACAGTAAGGGGACACCTTCTATATCCTGATCGGGATATATATCCCGATTGGGATATAGCTATATCCCGATCAGGATATAGAAAAAAAGTAGTATCCCGATCGGGATATAAAACACGAAAT